TTATTTATTTTTATAATATATTATCATAATGATTAAAAAATAAAAATAATTTAAATATTATTAAATAAGTAAATATTTTAAGTTGACAATGCTAAAATTTGTTTCAAATAAATTTTTAATTTTGATGTTTTATAATTATAAAATTTAAATTAAACAAAAGAACAATTCAAACTTATGTTATTTAATAAAATATAATGAAAAAAAAAAGATTAAAACTGTCTCATTTTTGCTTTAAAGGGTGAATTAGTTTAATTTTGTAATATAAATTTATTAAAATTACATAATTTTTTTAAAAAAATTTACTTAATTTTCTTATAAATTTAATTGATAAAATTTTTTTATTTTTTATAATAATTAAAAAAAATACAATAACTACGCTAAATATTATTTAATTGTAGTGCTTGGGATAGGATCGATAACTGTACCGCAGCACCTTTATTCAATAACGTTTACGAAGGGGAAGAAAAAAAAAAAGAAAGAAAAACACAAAAGCCTTATTTACAAAAATAATGATAATAATAATTGCAACCACCAAAAGAGGGCGACATTCCTTCAAGGTAAGTTCGTCTCCTGATTTTTGCATTTGATTTCTTCGTTTGATTCGGCCGAATTGAACACCTCGGAAATCAAATTTAATGGTAGTTTTTGGGTCTTTCTTGAATTTGCTGCTGGAACGGTAATTTCTTCACATTTACAAAAAAAAAAATTTTTGTTGTTTGCAGGAGTTTTTGTTCCCCCTTGGTTATGACATAGGGAGATGAATTTGTGGTCTATTTAGTTCAGACAATCGGATCACATTGATAATTGAGGTCAAGTTTGGTGAAATTGAGAAGGGGTTGTTGATTTTTATTGGATTGTTTCATGGTTATCGAAGAGTTGGTCTCGAGGCAAGTTGCATTGCATTTGAATTGATCTGTTCTTGCAATTTTCCAATCTGGGTCACAGAATTCAAGCGCATTGATTGTAGATGTAAGTTTAATGCAATTTGATTAGTAGGTCAATTCTCAATTTGATAGTGTGTCTAGAGGCAAAGTGAGGAAGTTTGGAGTATTGGGTTGTTGGTTTTTCTGGTGGATTTCTTGATTCAGAGATTGATTCACAATCTTGTACTTTAAATGGGATTTGGTTTGTTTACCTTGTTTTTGAATTGCAATAGTATGTGTAAGAGCAACAAATAAATAGCTTTTGATACAATCATTGGAGAAAGAATTTCTGGGTTTTTTAGTGAATGAGAGGTAGAAGGAAATGAGACTTGAAGGAGCTGAAGTTGTATTTGAGATACAATGACTGGAGGGTCATTGGGTCTACGGTCAGGAAGTTATGGGTCACTGCAGTTGCACAGCTTTAACGGTTTTGGTGGAGGAGGATTGGTGCAAGGAAAATCTTCAGTTATTGTGCGAAAGTCTCCTGGAAAGATGCTTGTTTCAGGAAAGGACAGGCCTCTGTCCTTTGTTCGGTGCCGCTACCTAGGCTGCCGGAAGGTTTCTATGCTGCTTCTTGTTATCCTTGCTGTTCTGGTTTTTGTCTTGGGTTCGTTTACAGTTAATAAAGGTATGTTCTCCCTTGTTCTTGTTGATTGATGATTTTTTTTCCCGTCATCCCTTGTGATTCTGGCTTGTTTAATATATCCTGATTATTAGGGCATTAAACTTAGTTTGGAGAATTATTGTAATTCACGTAGTTGTATCCATTGTGTTATATGTCTTTGTGAGGAACACCTGCACCCACTGATTAATGTAATGGCATTGTACCCTTTTTTTCTTTGTGTTATAGAATGATTGTGAACTATACCATAAGTTGGATTGAGGAAGTAACTTGTTTATGTATTGTGTTTACTTTTTGTGTAATTGGTAAAGCAGAAAGCAATAGGTCAAATCTTGGTCAACAGATGGAATCTTTGGTTCCTTTTGGCAATGGCGTAGCTCGTGATCATGTTGTTTATAGATCACATGGAGCAAAAGGAGATCAAGACAATAGAAATTTTTCTGTTGAGAACAGCTTCAGGGGAAGAGATGAAAAAGGAGCCCAGCATCCTCCTCCACCTTTTGTTTCTAGAGGTGCAGCTGTTTTTCCATCAGAACATCCATGCAAAAATTTTGCATTACCTCCTCCCCCTCCACCAGCTCTTAGGCGGAGGGGACCACGCCGTAAGTCTTGACCCCTTTTTTTTTTTCTCCAGCATGCTCTAATTGGTATTGGATCAAGTCCCAGAATGTAGTTATATAAAGACAGAAATCTCTGCATCTTGCCACAACACGTTAACAAAATAAACTTGATATAGGAAAGATTTCATAGATCTGCCTATGACTCATTGTGATTGGCTAAGATGTTTAGTCTTTCTTTTTCATTTTCAAATAAGTTAGTATGCTTAGTTATTGTAGAGGTTTGAACCCTTGACCTTTACCCCAGAATCAAGATTTTGAAGTTATTGTGCACCAGTGTGGCTAAACTGTTGTTGGTAGGATTTTTAGGGTAGTATAGGATAAAAGTTGTTTAAGGTCTGGACTTGAACAAGTGAAAGGAATATGCAAGTTTATCCTGTTCAGGCTGCAGTCTCTTTCATAGAACTACACTGTAAGTGTATATAGTTCTTTTTATTCTTCTTACCTCCTTCCTTTCTACCTGCTCTGTGATGTATTGCTCTTTTATGTTAAAGTTTGTGTTTGCATTAATCTAACTAGATATTGGTCCATAGCCTAACATTTACTCTTGTAAACCATATAGTTCTTCAGATGGTGGCAACTGTGTTCATCACTTCATCTAACATACTTTATATTTATCATGCCTTTGATTTGTTCATATTATCACCATCATCATCACCAACTACAAAATATCAATCCAGTTCTGTGTCATCGCACTGGACTGACCCTTTATTACCATATCACTAAATTTTGTTTATCAATAAAAAGGTATTACCATGTTACTGACTTTGTTCTTGCTCATCTGTTTATGTAGCTTGTCCTGTATGTTACCTCCCAGTAGAGCAGGCTATAGCTAGCATGCCAAGCTCCCCATCAACATCTCCTGTTCTTCAGAATCTAGCATATGTTCATGACGAAAATCCAATAAAAATGGAACCACATGGGGGCTCTGACTTTGGTGGATATCCATCTCTGCAGCAGAGAAATGATTCTTTTGTCATAAAAGAATCCATGAGGGTGCACTGTGGGTAGGTTTTGTTTTGTTTTCCAGCACTTTTGTCTCATCCGTATTTTGTACCTGGATCTTTTTTAAAGAAATTAATTTGATCATAATTCTTTGTTTGGTAATGATGGCATGTAATGGATTTAATGATTTTCAATCAGCATCTTATTTTGGTTTCGGTATCTTTTTTTCTTATGCATTATGACTGATGTTCATATATTTTGGTATCAGATTTGTCAAAGGAAGTAGGCCTGGTCACCAAACTGGATTTGATATTGATGAAGCTGTACTCACTGAGTTAGAGCAGTTTTATGACATCATTGTTGCATCAGCAATATTTGGTATTGCAAGGTGTACAAGCCTCAGAGAGTTTCTTGCCTCTATGCACAATTGACACCATAATTGCTTTGTTGCAGGGAACTATGACATAATACAGCAGCCTAAGAATATTAGTGAAGTAGCAAGGAAGAACATTCCCTTCTTCATGTTTATCGATGAAGAGACAGAAGCATATATGAGGAACTCTAGTGCCTTGGACAGCAGCATGAGGGTGGGACTCTGGAGAATCATTGTTGTCCATAATGTTCCTTATAGTGATGCAAGACGTAATGGAAAGGTGAGCTTGCTTACGTTTTGTCGATTTACTTAATCCTTTTGATGAGGGATTTATTTTTTATCAGCTGAGTGTTAAGTGGGTGTCAATACAACTATTTAGGAATAAGGATAAAGAGAAAGTTCAGTTTCAAATGCTAGAAACTTCCTCAGTTACTTATTTATATTTTTGAGATTATATCTTGTTGAACTATCATGCATTTGTGGCAGGTGCCAAAACTTTTATTGCATAGATTATTTCCAAATGTTCATTATTCTATATGGATTGATGGAAAGCTCCAGCTTGTTGTGGATCCATACCAAATTCTTGAGAGGTATGTTCATTTCCTTTAACTGTTGAATTTTTGTTTTCTCCTTTTTTTTCTTTTTTTTTTTTTTTCATGTGTTTCAGCTTATACCATTAAGTTGAGGTAGGTATTTTAAAGGGGACTATTAAATTACCAGATTGTGATATTCTAGTCCTTCCAATGCAGTGCATCTCTATGTTTTATGAATCATCAGCAAGGTGCATGCCATGCGGGTCAAAGTGTTTTCCTCCAGAAGTTTTTCCAGTAGTGAATTTTGTATTAGAATTATACTCAGTAATTTTCTAAAGATATCAAAGAGATGGAAAACACTCTTCTTTAGATTAAAGAATACCTATCCAATTACCAGCTTTATTTTTCCTTTGGGAAACAATCTTAGGCCGAACCTGAAATTTTTAATTCCTTTCAATTCAATTATGGTACTTACTTTTCTACAAGAAAAGATATCAAAATGTTAATATCAAATTATTTCTGATTTTATAGATAGATGCTTTATTTATATAATACTTAGCTGGCTGATTAAACTGTGCAATTACAACTTTGGGTAGTTGGTATGAGGACCAGCTTTAAGCATAATTGTCTTTTTCTCCTAGGTTCCTGTGGCGCCAAAATGCTAATTTTGCAATTTCAAGGCACTATAGACGCTTTGATGTCTTTGTAGAGGCTGAAGCTAATAAAGCTGCTGGAAAGTATGATAATGCCTCAATTGATTACCAGATTGAATTTTATAAGAAAGAGGGTTTAACACCATACTCTGAGGCTAAGCTTCCCATAACCAGTGGTAGGTACATAACTTCACTCTTGTGTGTGTAGATGCCTTGTCCTTTTGCAGTGTTCTGATCATCTTTGTGCCATATGTTTAACCTTTTTGATTCTGACTTTATGCAGATGTTCCTGAAGGTTGTGTTATCATTAGGGAACATATTCCCATAACAAATCTATTCACCTGCTTGTGGTTCAATGAAGTTGATCGTTTTACTTCCAGGGATCAGTTAAGCTTTTCCATAGTGAGGGATAAAATAATGGCAAAAGTTGATTGGAGCATTAATATGTTCATGGACTGTGAAAGACGTAACTTTGTCATACAGGTCTGTATTCTGCATTGTTGTCTTAATTTGTTTGGAATATGAATTGCAATTGATAATAAAAATGCAGATATATACATACATGATCTCCTTTTCCCTCGTTAATGTAAAAGGGAGAAGGCAAATGGCATGCTCTTTCTTTCTAATTTATCCTGAATTCTATGATGGACTAAATCCTCTATAAACTTGGTAAATTTATGATGAAGATATTTCCAATGATTGCTTTGGCAGGGAGAAGGGAGTTGCCTTAGGCATTATTTACTCTCCATATCTTAGAATTCAAGCAAAAAAAAAAAAAAAATTCAACACTCAGAATACAGGCTTACAAAAATGCTATCTTGCCTGGTGCCTGATTCTGTGAAAGGCTGGGCACTACTACTATTAACTAGATTTTGTAGTAACACAATTCAATGTGGTCAAGGAATTCAGAATGTTTGAAATGTTTTCGGATGTTGAACTCATATATACACTGCATAATATGCCTAATTGAAGAATAAAAGTTCCTAGGATTTTTAATATTTTTTTTCCTCTTCTGGTGAAGAGATTGTTTAGTCTTCTGTTGGCGTGGAGTGTAGAAATAGGTCCACGTTCATCAGATCATGGTTGCGCTTTGGTCCATGTACATAACTAACCTGTAAAGTGACTCTTAATATGCAGGCTTACCATAGAGATCTATTGGAGCAAATGGCTCCACCTCCACCCGTTGCTGCTGGGACTCAGCATTCACAAGCTTTGTCCAATATTCATGCAGCTGGAAAGACTCCGGGGAGGAGGACTCCTCCTAGGCATGGGAGAGACAGGAGATCTGGTTCAAGGCGACACCGTAAAGCTGCTGCTGGCAATAGGGAAAACACTGCAATTTTAAATGTTTTCTGACTAAAAAGGGAAAGCAAAATGGTATCCTTTTCTTCTCACTGCCACTCGAATCTAATTGTAATCTCACGGGCTAGGACGGTTAATCAGGTCAGTTTAGGATGATATAAGAGTAAAACAGCTCTTATTTTTGCCTTCAAATTTTGAAATCCATTGTTTTATTGATATACACCATCCTTCATGAGTTTCATTTGAGCCATTGTTTACCTTTATATATATATATATATATCTTGCATCCGACTTTCTTGTTTGTTTATAGCTTGCTTTAATTAAGGTTCTGAATACAAGGTGAGACAGTTCCTTTCTTTCTGCTAATTTTTTCTCTCTTTGGTGTATCCAATTATGGATTATATAACAGATAATAATGCTTTCATTTTCCAAACCTCGCCATACCTATCCTAAATTCGAAATCGAGACTTTATTTAACTTGAGTCTTAGGCTGTTATATGTGGGGAGATCTCTTTTAAGAGATTGCTTCTAATATTTGGTAAAGTCAAGATTGGATCTATGATCTTTGATAAAGTCAAGATTGAATCTATGTGCAATTTTAAATATAAATAATTGATATTGATGGTTTTAAAGATTATATCCATCCAGTATGGGATGTAGTATGGAGTATGGACCTTTATTCACTCCAACTGTAAAGGGTGGTCTAAAAATGATTGCTTCCAGTGGCTAAAATATGTAATTTAGAGAGAACGAAGCATGGTTGTCATGTTCTTTGGCCTACAGAACAAAGCAAACACAGCTTTGAAAATGTGATGAAAGCACGCAGTTATTAAGACAAATCAAAAACATTTTGAAAGCAACTTTTTGAATTTAAAGGTTTTATTTGGAATTAAGATGACAATATTTGACAAAAGGAGGTCATGAGCCAAACCATAATGAGTGTTTCTTCTTCTTCTTCTTCTTCTTCTTCTTCTTCTTTTATGACAATCAATCAATCAACCAATTGCATTTCCTTAATTTAAGGCATCAAAGTACTTTTGGGGCCATGGCTATGCTGACATAATTAATTGTTAGCTTCACACAAAATATTTATAATTATATTTAATTTAAGTGTTAAAAGTAACTGATAACTATAATTATTATGTTTATAACATTTACAATTTAAGAATTTATTTAAAGGAAGCTAAATTCCTTTCGCTAAAACTAATAAGGTATTTAACTCAAACTAAGAAGTTAATTGTACCAACGAGGGGTTGGATCAAGTGGTAAGCGGCTTGTTCCAGCTTAAATAAGGTCTCGAGTTCGAGACCTTGTGAATGCAGCAGCCTCTGTTGGGAGACTCACCTATCATTTCTAGGTGCGCGACGCAGGTCGATCCGGATTAGTCGAGGCGAAGCCTCGGATACTGGACGAGAAACCAAAAAAAAAAAAACTAAGAAGTTAATTGTAATACTTTAAGAAGTTATAAATTAATAAAATTAGACAAATCAAATATACTTATAATATTTTGTGTCATTAATTGAGTATGCGGCCTTAGCCCCTTTTGGGTAGAGATTTTTTTTTTTTTTGGTCAAAAGGTTAGATTCATTTCATTGATTAAGTAATTGACAAAAAAAAAAAAAAATTGCTAATGTAGACCCATACTAAATTCATGACCCACAGATGTTGAATTGAACTGCTTTGCAGAATGAGGAAGTACCCGGAAAAAAAGTATGGCATTTTGTGCATGTAGAGTATGGGTGGGGGAAGCAATCTCACTGCCCAATTCTAAAGGTTTAATACCCAATTTGGTTCCTCAACTTTCATTTTTGAACCTAATTTACACCTAAACTTTAAAAAGTATCAAACTACCTTTAAACTTCAATTTTTCTGACCAATTTGGTCCTTCCATCAACGCAAGTGCCACATGGCACATTAAATTGCCACAAAATTAGTTCATTGTCTTAGGTGGAAAATTGAATGATTTAATGTCATTAATTAATTAATTAATATATTAAACTAAAATAAAATTACAAAACTAACCTCATCTCTTTCCTCAAATTTTGCTTTCGTTCCTCTCTCCTTCTTTTGTTTCTCTTGCCATTCACTGATTTCTTCTTCTCTTATTCAAGTTCGTAAGTGATTGGGCTTGGATAAGGGTGGCTCAAGAGATTTGGTAGTTGGGCAATACCTTGGAGTGTGGAGTGGTGAAGAAGAAGAAGAGGATGTAAGGTTTGGGTAGCAGACTCTCCAATGGTGGATTTTATTAGTGAGGTCAAGGGTCACAGATTCTCCTCCTCCTCTTTTTCTTCCTTGTCTTCTTCTTCTTCTTCTTCCTCCTCCTCCTCTTCTTCTTCTTCTTCTATTATTTGGGATTTAGGTTTTGGGTTTTGGGTCTTGATCTTCCAACAACCAAGATCTAGGTTCTCAAAAATTTATTAGGTTTTGGGTTCTAGGTTCTCAAAAATTACCATTCTTCTCCAAAATAATGAAATTTAGTAAGTATATTATCTAATTTTTACAAATTAATTTAGAAACTATTTTCAAGTTTCAATTTTTATTTCATCTAGGTTTTGTCACAAATTCAGAGTTTTCAATGTTACAAATTCAGAGTCTTCAATGTCACAAAGGTTTGTCAATGATCTATCTCATGAAAAACCCATTGATTTGTGAACTTCTTAAGTTGATCTTCTCCAGCAATCGGGTTCACCTCCCCTATACTTGGCCAATGAGACTAAGATTTGCTTTGGGTTGATCGATATCCAAATTTGGGATGATATCTAGATTTAGGTTTATATCCAAATTTGGGTTTGTTCTTTGTACTCAAATTTCCTTAAAAAAAATGATGTTTCTTAGTGAAATATATTGAGTTTATTATAAAATTTGGAGTATAATTTCAAAGATTGTTTATTCCTCATACTTTTTTTTAACAGTTTTTTAATTCCTCACACTGCTTATGCCTTTTGAAGTTTGAATTTGAAGGTTATGTGGCAAGGTTAATAGTTAACATCAATGAGCTCTTATTTATCAAAAAAAAAAAAACATCAATGAGCTCTTAAT